AACAAAAAAAAAATATATGACCCGGACCATCATTGCACGATCTGACGTGGGACTGACAAAGTCAGAGAATGACGGGACAAACAGGACATCTAACCAAATATACGCTCTCGGAACTTTGAAAGGACCTTTTATATGAAATTAAAAAAAATATATATATATACTTGTAGTTGTAATGACCTTTTTTTTTTTTTTTTTTTTCTTTCGATATATCAAGTGATAAAAAAAAACTGCTCCGACTTTACTCAACAAGATTAACAATTTAATCAAACGTTTCGTCTCCCATCCGGGAAACATCGTCAGTGAAACCTACAAGCAGGAATGCTTGTAGGTTTCACTGACGATGTTTCCCGGATGGGAGACGAAACGTTTGATTAAATTGTTAATCTTGTTGAGTAAAGTCGGAGCAGTTTTTTTGATCATTATGATTCCCGGCTTTTGGAATATTTTTGCAATATATCAAGATATTTAAAAGGCAATCTTGTAGGATGATCTTACAAGACATTACGATTCGTATCGCCCTCTTTTTGCTGTAACACAAAGTGTGCGAGTATTCCTATTCCTAATAAACCCCCGAAAAAAAAAAACGAAAAAAAAAAAAAAACACTGCAGGGTGATTCTACGTCAATTCATGCAATGGTGGTCTGGGTCATAATTTAGATATTTTTGTTAAAAATATAAATGAAAGCCATGTTTTTGGGAGGAACATTCAGCTAGATATGAACGCCGTAACAATTTTTTTCGCTGAGATATAAAATAGAGAAGCTTGAGGCGTGGAAATTGAGAAGATTTCCCAATGCTACTTTGCACAGTCGTCATTTCCTTATCAAAACTTTCACGGCACCATAACTTTTTTTAATAGGTTTTACAAAGGTTATTGTACTTTTTTCACCTATTACGTCTAAGCTGATTACATTTTTTTTGTGATTATATTTCTATTACGTTACTAGAGCCTCGCACACTAACTCCCGAGTGTGCGATGCAAAATTAAAATGAGTTACCCAGAACCCCGTTGCAGGTGCCCTGAAGTGGCTGACGCAAATTTTGAGGAATGTATTTGGAGAAGTATTTGGAGGAGACCAAATACATTGGGATGTATTTGTATCTTGTACTTAAATGCTTTTTTGGAAATGTAATTAGATTTGTAATTAAATACATTTTTGATGCAGTATTTTGTATTTGTATTTCAATACATATTTGTATGTATTTTGCCCATCCCTGCCGTTAAAAGCAACTGAAAATTGACGCAATATATGCATGCGCACACCTCGTGCTCGGGTCTTTTTTTTTTTTTACCCATTTTGGTCGTAGGGAATAAAATTTGGAGATGCCTAGTTCGGGATGGGGATGGTCCTTCCTAAACAGCTGGTAAGCTTCCTTAATAGAGCGGGTCATAAACCTTTTTACGACTTTGAACATGTCGTCGATCATGGCTTTGACGACGTCCCTTTTGTTGGGGCTTTGAACAGAGCATGCGAGGTCGTCGCGTGTGTAGTACTCAATTGCAACCCCCACGTCTTCGGCATTCGCCTTTTTCCCCATGTAGGGATCAGGGGTTGCCCAAACACCACCTTTGCGCTTCAGTTTTCATGTTTGATCAATCATGTAGGCAGTCGCTTCCGACACCAGACGCAATATTTTTTTCTTCAGGATGATTGGTGGCAGAAGCACGTGCAATCGCTTGCGTTCCTGGTGGGAACTACATGCCTTCAGCACTTCGCAAAACGCGTCAAACCACTCTGCGCAGTGCTCACAACTGTCTTCGAGTTCGAGAGTTTCGTGCGGTGAAGCAAGCAAAGTGGACCACCGTAAAACCTGTCAAAGGAATCCAGGCAACTCATCTGTGAAAGTCATCATATGCCGAGAGGCCAGATGTATACATGGCCATTCGCGCAACTGAGAGTTTTAAGCTTATGTATGATGCATAGGTAGCAAATTTACAGAGTGGGGCCGTTTTATTCCTGTGAATTGTAAGCTAATTAATGGTATTCCAGCTCAAAGTTCCTTTTCACGTCCCTAATACTCACCGTTTATAAAAAAATAATTTTAATAATATAAAATACATGCAATAACTAACGCTCAAAACGTTTGGTGCTGTGCGGCAAAGCCGCTATGACGAAGATGTCGGCTCGCTCCGAGTAAAGGTTTGTCGTAGCTTTTCCCGCTTGGAGGTCATATGTTACTCAATCTTTTGCCATCACAGGTTAGTTCAAGTCACTGCAAAGTTCCAAGGGGAGTTTAAAGAAAATAAAAGATGGAGTTTTTTAGATATCGACGCCCAATCTTGCCACATTTTGAGAAATCAGCCGCATTTCCGCGTTGATAACAAAAATATATTTAAGGGTGGGCATATTATCTTTATATATTCGTAAAGAATATTTAAATACGCGCATTTTGATATGTTTTGTCAAGTATTATGAAAGATGGTTTATTTTCAAAAAAATTGTGAATATGTCTCTAAAACGCGTTTTTGTGCCATGTTTGATGTTTTAGTTTGCATTGAAATATTTTATGGATATTTTTAATTGTTTGTGTATGTGTTGTATAACTTTTGAAAAACCTATGCGGAGGGCAAGTTCGTCTGCTTCTCGCGCAGGGAGTAGCGGTGACGTCAGAACGCCGAGCCCTGATTGGCTGATCGCGCCCCTCTATCTGAGCGTCGTCTGCTCCTTTGCAACGTCGTCTGCTCGCAACCTCGTCTGCGTCTGTCTTACCTTTCCTGCGACTTTCCGAAGTGCAGAGGCCAGATTCACCAAACGATCTTACGCCAAAAATGTGCGTAAGACAAAACTTAAGAACAAATTCGTATTCACGAAACGAAATTTTCGTAAGTTTTGCGCAAGTTACGACAAAATCCTACGACAGCTCCGAAGCTGTCTTACGCACTTCTTACGATCAAATCAGCATGGCCGACAACGTCGCGGTCGCGACGACCCACGGACGTTTATTTTTTTACGTGCGGTTCTGACGCGTCCCGACTTCAAGCAGCAAGAAAAAAGTAAAAAGTACTTGAAACAGACCACGACGAACAAGAACGCTGGATCCACAAACACCCGGGAAAAGCTCCCACGGCCACGATCCCACCGAACGCGACCAAACGAGCTGGGCAGTTAGGCCTAGCAGGCTCTCCGCGACTCGGCGACCGTCTGCCCACGACCGGCTGGCGTGCTGAGTGGAATATGCCCGCGCGACCCTTGTGAACCCTTCCCGTATAATATTTTGATTGCTGACCTCAATTTTAGATTAAGGGGTCAATTTCTTCCTCTTGTTATCTCCTTGTTTCCCGAGGCAACGGTGACTCTCGCCGATGAAAAAGCGGTGAATCTCCGACAGACGCAGCAAAGGTAAAGCAGCCATCGCTTTGACCGCTTTGACTAGCAGACGTAAAGCAGACGACGTTAACTGCGCCAACCCGCCGACGCCGTTAAAGAGTGAGGGGTCTCGCCGCACACGAATGGAGGGAAGAAGTATTTGGGAGGGAACTTGCCTCGGTTCTAAGCAAAAAAACCTCGACGCCCCGGGACACCTCGCCAGTGAGTCCTTTGACTTCCCTCCTTGATGCGCGTCTGCTAGTTGTTAGACAAAAACAACGTACCGCTCGAGTTATTTCGTCTGCCTTCTCTCAAAGGCGAGGTCGAGTTCGCTCCGAAAGTCGCAGGAAAGGTAAGACAGACGCAGACGACGTTGCAAAGGAGCAGACGACGCTGAGATAGGGGGTCGCGATCAGCCAATCAGAGTTCGGCGTTCTGACGTCACCGCTACTTCCTTTCCTATGCGCAGAAGACGAAAATGAGCCCACTTGCGAGGCGTATTAAAAAAGTTATGGTGCCGTGAAAGGTTCGATAAGGAAATGACGACTGTGCAAAGTAGCATTGTGAAATCTTCTCAATTTCCATGCCTCAAGCTTCTCTATTTTATATCTCAGCGAAAAAAATTGTTACGGCGTTCATATCTAGCTGAATGTTCCTCCCAAGAACATGGCTTTCATATATATTTTTAACAAAAATATCTAAATTATGACCCGGACCATCATTGCATGAACTGACGTGGAATCACCCTGCAGACAGTTATTTATCAGACAGTGTCCGCAGACTGCCTTTTGTACGATGTAGTAGCAGTGCGACCGCGGCTTTGAGGACCAAAAAGTGCAAGTTACTAGACCTTTTCTCTTTACGATTGTTCAGTCATGATAAAACTCGTGCAGAAACATGACGAACACCACGATGCATGGTGCGCCTTTGACGTTTTCTGATCGGTCGGATCGGCCCGCAGCGTCGGCTTTGTCTGCACTTAATGTGAAAGAAAGGATGGGAGGTGCTGTGAACAGATCCGCCGCTTTACCAACATTCTCGAGACCAATTATAACGAAGTCAACGGGAATCGGAAATCACTTCGCTATATCCGCTATTTCGTTATAACCGACTTCGGTTAACAAAGTGAAAAAGGGGAATGGAAAATCGTGATCACTTCGCTATATTCGCTATTTCGTTATAACCGACTTCGGTTATAACGAAGTGCAAAAGGGAATGGGAAATCGTGATCGCTTCGCTGTAGACGCAATTTCGTTATAACCGACTTCGGTTATAACAAAGTGAAAAAAGGGAATGGGAAATCGTGATCACTTCGCTATATTCGCAATTTCGTTATAACCGACTTCGGTTATAACGAAGTGCAGAAGGGAATGGGAAATCGTGATCACTTCGCTATATCCGCTATTTCGTTATAAGCGACTTCGGTTATAACGAAGTGCAGAAGGGAATGGGAAATCGTGATCACTTCGCTATATCCGCTATTTCGTTATAAGCGACTTCGGTTATAACGAAGTGCAAAAGGGAATGGGAAATCGTGATCGCTTCGCTGTAGACGCTATTTCGTTATAACCGACTTCGTTATAACCAGTCTCGACAGTACGTCTTAGCATTGCGAACGCTCGGTGGATGTCTGTTCGGCGACGAGACCCTCCGAAAAGTGCTCCTTGTATGTACACTCCCGCCCTGCTGCAGGTTGCTGCACCACCGGGCCATGTACGGCCGGTTTCACAAGAAGCACCACGAGTGGACCGCCCCGGTGGCCATCACGGCCGTCTACTGCAGCCCGGTGGAACACCTGCTGTCCAACGTGCTGCCTACGGCGCTGGGGCCTGCCCTGCTGGGCTCGCACCCCGTCGTTCACTGGTTCTGGAGCGCCGTCACGGCGCCCTACGGCGTCGTCGTCCACTCGGGCTACCACCTGCCCCTGCTGCCGTCTCCTCAGATGCACGACTTCCACCACCTCAGGTGAATGAAAACCCGCGGGCGCACGCCGCCCGACTTCGGTTCATCGAATGCCCTTTCATCGAAACGGGTTTTAGAGAACGGGCATGGTTTATCGAAGCTAGGTTTAGAGAAAGCGGAGCCTCAGTTTAGAGAAAGGCCGTTTATCGAAAAAGGCACGTTGTTTCAAAAAGACCTTTCCACTTCGCGCGTGTATCACTGGGGCGCGTGTTAACCCCCCCCCCCCCCCCCCCCCTTCCCCCCGCGTGTAGGAAGCTTCGCGGCGGCAGTCTGTAGTGGTTCATTAACAAAATGCTAACTCACCTGGCCCATTCGTACTCGCCGCTTCGCGGCGGCCGATTTCGCTAAAAGAAGGCTCATCGTCATTTTCTTTAAACAGAGTTTCTAGCGTTCGCTAAAACGAGTTTCTCTAAACAGCGTGCCTCCGATGCAACGTACTACCGCCTTGTAACCTGTATCCAAACATGTACACGATACTCGAAAGAAGTAATCGACTACAATTACAATTACTCTCGCTTAAATCATATTCAATTCGATTACATGATTACTCGAGAGACGAAAAGTAATACGCCGTTACATGAAAACTTAACCGTAACTTCTCCCAATTCAGATCTTCAAAACTAAAGTTTTCTGCCGATTGCAAAACGGGTCTTTTGTACTGTCCATTATTGGATTCGAATCACCGAATTAAAAGTTACTGATCTCTTCAATCCACCAATTTTGGTAGACCATCCTCCCGTACGAGACCTCTTGGTTCGAGGATTCCTAGGTAGAAAACTGGTACAAACAAAGTGCTTCATTAGAAACGGGAGGGGGAAAAAAGTGACGGTTACAAGTAATTTTAGTACTTCCAAAAGTAATCAGACGACTGTCGTAACTACTTACTAATAAATCAATACATTACAAAATTACTCTAAAACTTCATCGATGACGAGTAATTTAATTACGTGTATTGAGTAATAACCGTACAAGTCTGCCTCTATCAAATATTCGCGCGATCCACATGGCTAGAAGCCATATGAGTGGCTTCTCAAACCGGCGTGTTGTGTGAAACCGACGTGGATGTGAATCACTGTTTCGGCGTGTTGTCGTCGGTAAAGTACTCCTCGCCCCAAAACCGGATTGTTTACGAGGGACAATCCGGCTATTTTTCGGCACATATAGAAATCGCTCGAGTACCTGGCGATCCAAACCAAACGTTGGCTTTTGAGAGAAAACGATTGAATGAGTAAATGTAACCTATAGTTTACTTTTTTTTTTTTTTTTTTAAGCGCAGTGTTTAGGCGTTTGTTTTCGTGTTTCGGGGCGTCGCCGTCGGCTTAATCACGCGCGTTTCATTATTGAATGTCACAGACCTATACCAATTCAATTCCCCGCTAAATTTAGCGAAGAAACTGAATTTGTGGTGTAAATCCTTGACGTCCCATAATTCTATGCTCCGCATTCACTTTCCCCGCTAAATTCAGCGGTAAAACTGACGTTACATGTCCTCAACACCAATTCAGTTTCCCCGCTAAATTTATCGGGGAATTGAATGGGTGTTGAGGTCACGTGACGTCAATCTTCCCGCTAAATCTAGCGGAGAAACAGAACTGGTTCATAGCTGACGTCACGCGAAGTCATGTGATGTCATTGTCCCCGCTACATTGAGCGGGGAAACTGAATTGGAGTTGAGGTCACGTTGCGTCAATTTTCCAGCAAGATTTAGCGGCAAAAACTGTGGGAGGAGAGGCGGTTATGGAGGTAGAGGAGAAGGAGGGGGGGAGGGGAGGGGAGGTCCGTATCCTCCCCTCTTCGTCCATACCTTCTCCTCCTCCTTCGTACCCTCCCCCCCCCCCCCCTGTACCCTCCCCTCTTCCTCCTGCGTACCATCCCGTCACGGTATATCAAAATACCTCAAAAGCTGTTTTAACGTCTTTTTTTTTTTTGTAGATTAGGCAAGAGGCTTGCTTTGAAAAAAAAGTCAGTCACGAAATGCTACGCAGGGCGATCCCTTCTTCTAGGGGGACGCACCACCCAGGGCATCATCGCATCGCAGATGCTGGCTCTCGAAGTTGACCCAGAAGGTTACAGCGTTAGATCCTCATCCCAGGATGTATATCTACCCAAGAGGGGCTCTCGGTTGAAGTCTACACGCCAGTGGTGTAGCCAGGAATATTTTTCGCGGGGATGGCGGGGGGATGGGGAGGGGGAGGGGAGAGAGAGAGGGGAGGGGGAAGAGCTAAAACACCATAAACCCCCGGGTACACCACTGCTACACGCGTTCTCACGAGTGCAGGGACGCAGACGTGCAACGTTAGTTATAGTCTCAGAATTGACTTCATTGCCCCTTTAATGACTACGCTGCGAGGACTGGTTACACAACGCATCTACGCGTTGTTGCATGGCGAGAAGGATGGTGGGCAGACTGAGCAAAGGCTGGGGACGCTTACAGACGGCCGACGCTTTCGACTCCTGCTCGGCCCATAGACCACGTGTCCCTATATGTATACCTGCCCACTGCCCTACCTATTATAGTGTACGCTAGAGGTCCAGTTGCTGGCGCTAGTGTTCTCTTACAAATTGGTGCAGAGAGCAACTAGTCGAAGATTGACTTTCGGTGATGCATTTCTACAGGGGAAACAAATCCGTTTTTTTTTTCTTTTTGTCCTGCACGAATAATTATATTGTAGTAAAATAGTTTGGAACACTTCTTAATCACGTAAATGAAAATATTGGTCAGTTACGGTGTTTTTTGGTCAAATTCGTATCATTAAACACAGTGATAAAACTGCTTCATACACGCATTTGTGTGCACTGTCGAGCGCGGTGAGCGCTCGAAAGTGCACCAAGAGAGACGGCAAGAACTACGCAGTAACAGTACATCGGTAACTCCCTGTGTACGTAGAAAATCGAAATTAAGTTTTGGTAAAGCTGGGATAAATGATTTTAAATTAGGATTTTACTAATCGCATGTCGTACTTACTATCGCTTTTACTATCGCACGACAACCACGTTCTTTCATGAAAGAACGTGGTTGTTTTGTGCTTGTCGTCCGTGTTTTATTCTTTCAGATATATATATTATTTTTTTTTTGTTTTATTATGAACGCTTTTTAGATTTTAGGAGGCTGAAGAGCGTTCGCGACGGGAAGAAGATTTTTCTACGCGGGAATATTTACATCGTGATCTTTCAGTTCAGGTCTCTGAGAAGAGAAGTCTCTGTAGGAATCCGAACACCGGCTAATGTAACCCCTTGAGGTGGCAAGGAGGTTCCTGTCCAAGATCCCACGAGGCGGAAGGGCACTCTCGTCACCATAAAATCTCTGCAGTCTCGCCGGACGCGGACGTCCCACGCTCGGTGTCGCCCGGAAGCCGCACCCTACCTACGCGTCAGTCGGCATGTTCGTCGGCGCCAAAATGCCGACCCCCAGACTCTGGTCAGTCGATGGGTGGTCGTTGGCGCTGCGAGCCGAACCCGCCCTCTGGGGGGGCGATCAGAACAGTGCGGAGGGAGGGGATGGGATGACGTCACACTGGGGCAGTCGGGCAGGGTAGAACTCGCAGGGCTGGCGCACGGAAATTAGCCACTCTGTGACCAGAGTCCTCCTCGCTGTCGCGGTGCCCGTCGGGGCGACGTCTGGAGCCGAAAGGTCTAGCGGCTGGTGGCGACCAGTTCTCCGAGTCGCCTCCTGGCGACGGCACGTCGCTCTGGGGCAGTACGGCAGAGGAAGTACTCCTAGGTCTGGCGCACGGAGATTAGCCACTCGATGCCTCGGTGCCCAAGGGATGACGTCCGGAGTCGAAGGGTCTGGCGACTTCTGGCTACTAGTTCTCCACTTTACTGGCGTGCTGTTGAACACAAAGCGGCCTTGAAAGGTCGTGGAAACACAACATGACCAAAATAAACTGCGCGTCTTCCCTCCATTCCGACAAAACAAATATCACAGCTACAGGTGAAGCCGCGCATCGCTACCCGTGCACCATGACAGTGTCAAACCAGTGTAACCTCAGTAACGACCCCGCCGACTACCTCCTAAAAAAAAACAGTCGGGGGGACGCCGTGTCACACTAACCGTTGCCCGACTCGCTTTTTGGAGACCGGGTCGGTTTTTGTGACACACCGCAAAGTCGTCAGTCTCTAATAGTTCGGGAAATAAACGCAGATCTGAAGTGTTGTAGGGCCACCCGAAGGATGGCGCCAGTGTCTTTCTAAACGTGCAGTCTATATACACTTTCTCCGATTGTATATGCTAATATCGGCGAGTTCTTGAAATCCCCGATTGTCGTCTGCCCTTCAGAGAGGATGACATATTTTAAATTTCCTTTCGAACGAAGCTTGAAATGTTTCCAGGACACAGTGACCAAATAGTATCTCGAAGGAAAATTAAAAACTGTACGCATCCTGGCGCTTTCCCGGGTGATAAGGACGTCCGGAGTTCTGGCGCCGTTTTGCGCGTTCACACCTACTTATCCGTCACGGCATGCATAGATGGCGGATGGACGCTTACGTTATCACTGAGACCGCCCTGCAGACCCATTTCGAAAGTCCCGTGCCGATTGTTAGAAGATCGAACCACAACAACAATCGCGGAACAACTGACAGAGGAACGTGGAAGTCATTACATAAAATGTCGAACGCCGGAGCTTAGCTAACGCTCCGCCGTTCGACATCAAACAGCGGCAAAAGTGCAACGTACCTGCGTTCCATCACTTTGTTTTTCTTTTTTTTTTCTGCTGGTGTGGCCCGTAAGCACGCATATAGTGCGCCACGACGTTACTGTTTTAGCCCGCCATTGTACAGGGACTCCACATAAATTTATTCACGCCGTTTGCAGACGAACCTAACTGCAATGCGGGGAACTTGACTCATGGCGCATACATCTCAATGGAATTCGCCATCAATTTTCGCGGCTCTGGCACTCTTCTTCAGTGCACCACCTTACGTCCCATAGCAGCGGATGCTACGAGCCATCGGAGTCACTCCAAGGCCGTGAGGTGAAGTTAGGTGATCTTGGACAAGCGCACGTGGGTAGGGTATCACGTGCTACGGTTGAGAAGTTTGCGTGGCGCCCCCTTACGGCGAAACGAGGCGACGTCACGGCGAGCACAGAAGTTTTGCCCGATTCGGCCGCTCGCTTTGTGTAGGCTGCGAAAGCGTTAGCTGTTAGCACGCTCGTTTTTCAGTTTTTTTTTTTTTTTGCGCGTTTTTCGTAGGAAGTGTGAATTTTCATTTCATATGTGGTTTTATTGATGTACAGCCTGTAGCCGCAGGCGAAACTTCAACCAACATTTTAGGCATGGTTGACAGCGCAGGCAGCGCATGAAACACAGCTGCATGGTTTATGAAAAGGAAGAAATATGGCCACACTTGCAGGAGCATAACGATAGATTTACATCTCACACAATCAATGCTGCTGATGGTCTGAATGAATTGGCGATTTATGTATACTATTTCGTGTTTTTTATTTGTATCTCTGCTTTTAAACAAAAAAAAGGACGAAAAAAAAAAAACGCCAAAGCAGAAAAGCTGCATGCTGCTCAAGCAACATATTAAAGGGGCGGTGTCACAATATTCAATTGGAATGTTTTTCACTTTACACGAGCTTACTGGCACTAGTGGGACTCAAGGATACTCGCACGCAACGCCACTGACCAAGAAACTCCTTTGTTGCGCTGTAATTTCGAGGACAAAACCGAGTGTTTTCATTCAATCTCTCCGTTGCAAAACTTATGACGTAGCTGGGCGGTAGCAGTACCGCCCAGTGACGAAATTTGAATACTGCTCATAGATTGGACCCGAGCATGGCGTGGACACTCGATTTGGGCTTGTGGTAATCGATAGCTCGAGAAGCATTCGGGTAGTGTCTTGTGTCCAATCGCTGCAATGACGACAACAGCCGAACCAAAACAATGTCTGGAACTCAGCGCGTGTCCTGTGCCTTGACAACCCCAGCGCACGGCTATGATCAACATTGGCGGCATATAATCAGCTCCAGATCACGTGGCCGCTTGTTCTGGCTGCGAGTTGAGGGGGCGAACTGTGCTCGTTTTTCTTTATTTTTTTTTTCTCTGCGACTTCGATTGCGTGTGGTGAAAAACGAACGGGCATTTCACAGGTCATTAACGTCAGGGATCCGTTCTAAGCGGTATTTCCGCAAAATACAAAAATCGTTGCATCGCCTCTTTAAATAAGCCTGGGCCAATGAGAGAGAATCCCAAGCACAGGGCAAAGTAGAGAGAGGAGAACAGGCATATACCAGTTATTTATTTACATCTGTTTACGTTGCTCGGTGGATTCGGATAGTATTTCAATGGACTCCACTGGTGGTACCTGTAGACTTGCTTATAATGTTCCTTGAGCAATGCACAACAAACATAAGTGAATGTGTCTAGCCCGCTATTATTCCCTTCCCGACAATTTATGTTTTACAGGCTCTGAAATTGATATTTTAGCTCAATAAAATTGTCCTGAAGCTAAAACACCAGAAGCTTTTCTCATGCAAATTGTCACACTCCACAGGTTCCACATTTTCTGTTCCACTGTACAGCCGTTCGAACGCTTACTGTTCCTCAAGTTTTTCCCTGTTGTCGGAGGGGCACACGTATAGTCGAGCTGATTTGCCGATCGCCCAAAGGCATTAGATATGCCGTTTGAAATGCCCGGAAAGCGGGGTGTGATATGCTCCTAGCTGAACATGCAAGAAATAGAATTTTAGCGTCTGAAGCACTTACGCCGCCGCTTCACCGACCCCTTGCACGATCGCCTTGTGTCGTGTGGGCGGACAAGGAGATTCACCGGCGGAATTGCCTCCGCCGATAGCTTTTGGTACTTTTAACCTAATTATAAAGGTAAAAGTGACAAACACGCTATACAAGGTACGGAGGCACGTCGGCATCGGTCTTACCCAGCGTCTTGTACACCAAATAAACGTAGTCCCGATCCTTGGAGAGCTTGCGGCGCACAACGACCGACGTTGACAGTGCCTGTCATCCTTAGTTTGATTGTCCACGTTTCTCTTTGAAGGCCGACGACCAGACTCGAGTTTCTGCAAGTCAGAAGATCCTCCTCGCCAGGTGGGAGGAGGAAACAAGAAACTATGGACAGGGTACCGTAGAAGAGGGAGAGGAGGAAGGGAGAGAAAAGTGGAAAGCGCGAACTGGTCGCCGGTCTTTAACCTCAACGTCTTCGGGCAGTAAAAGCTCATACCAGCTTCTTTTCGGGATTTGCATTGCAGCACTAAACAGAAGGTCAGCATGATTGCAAACCAGGGAATGGGGGCAGGGAAGCGAGCAGGATGCGAGATCGCGAAGCGGAGTTCTTCCCCTGACGTCACAGGACAACTCGCCCAGTAAGGGCGCGGCGACCGCAGCAACGTTTGTGCTCGCTCTCGGGATTAAAACCGTGCAGTACAGCCAAAGCTACAGGGGAGAGAGGGTATACCGACTTGTTCAAGAGGAGGGAAAGGAGGAACGGAAAAAATCCCAGCCCTTTTCTCTTGTTGCTCCTTTCCCTCCTCTTAAAAAGGTTGGCATATGCTCTGTCCCCTTTAGCTTTGGCTGTACTGCACGGTTTTAGTGAGACGGAGTACAGCGCATGGTGGTCAGTGTAACTGCGCCCATGCTCACGGGAAACATTAGGCCGAACAACCAGATTCCAACCTGACTCAAACCACGCCATCCCCAACTTTCTTAGACACTCGATTCTCTGCTAAATGCACAATAAAATGGGAATTTCAACTGAACAACACGCATCGCGGTTTCCCAGGAATATTTTAGATGAGTCATAAAATATCAACAAACAGTAATAAAACTTGTGGACGCGTATAGTTCTTATTCCACGGCTCTACAACTTTTTTTATCGTATTCTATAGGCGCCGCATTAGCAAAACGATCAATTTATGATTTTCTTGAAATATCGTAATGCTCCCGAGAACTGCAATGGCCTGGATATCATATAACACGAATTAATTCGAATTTTTATATTTCCTTGAAAACTTTTTATTCCACGAAATGTCCCAGAAAGGTGGCCATGCTCGTGCGGCGCAAACAACAACAAACGTACACGTCTATATGACATCCCGATTCCTGAGGCTGTGCGAGCAGCATTGCAAGCGTTCACGGTCGACTTTTTGTTTCGTTTTCCTCTCGGCAGGTTTCACGAGAACTACGGCATCTTGGGGATCCTGGACTGGCTGCACGGCACCGACGTGTCCTTCCGCAGAAGCGAGGCCTTCCAGAGACACCGGGTCCTTCTGTCCCTCAAGCCCATCTCGGCCCTCTACCCAGACCGGGTAGTCTCCAGCTACGATGTAATGTCACGGAGACACGCCGACAGGCCGCCAAAGACCGAACCTGAACGAAAAATGCATCCCTAGTTCAAGTGTGAGAAGGATGTATCACCTCCTCAGCGGTACCGCACACGCTGTTTGTATCATCGAGGACGCACTGCCATGTGTGACGACGTTGGCAAGTTGGTGCTGATGTGTGAAACGTGAGGTTACATCACCATACCAGTTTGTTTTCAAAGATTTGGAAGCTAAGCAAACAACCGAGCGATGGCGATCCCTCCTCCTTCAAGCAGCTGACTGATAGTCTGCGACACAATAAGTTTGAATACAGGATTGGTGTTTGCTGTGTAGTGTGTGTGTGCGTGTAGGCGGGCGAGGTGGTTTTTGTTTCTCGGAAATCTTAACGAAGAGCAGCATTGGGGCTAAAGCTGCACAAAGCAAATTTGATCACCATGCTCTGCCTTGCTTGGTGGAACGCTGCAATACTTTGGCAGTGTGTTTGCTCAATATCAGCCTCACCTTCCTTCTATCTCCCATTAGACAAACTTAATGACAGGCTAAAATAATTTTTTTTCTTTTTTTGCGAAGATAAAATTAAAAGACAACAAACTGAGGGGGATATAACATCTTTTTATAGGAACAAAGCCAGTCAAGGTTTGTGTATTCACAGCAAGAAGATTAAAAACTTTTTGCAAGAGTAGACATACATACATATAGTGTCTTTCAGGCACGCTCAACAACCACAACCCAAAAAATCCTGAGCAGTGTGCAAAACTCAAAAATAAATATAAATGCCAACTAACGTGCATTATTCTTTGCGAAATCCCCATAAGGCACACTTTACGTGTTTCTTTTCAACATTCAAGAAAGGTGACTAACCTTTCATAATACTTCAGAACATGCTAATCCACATAAATGTATGAGCTCCAAATTCTATACCGAAAACATATCAAATATATTTTGTTCAACATCAGCCCCACCTTCCCTCTATCTCCCATAAACAAACTTAATGACAGGCTAAAGTTTTTTTTTTTCTTTCTTCTCTTTTACAAAGATAAAAGTAAAGCACAACAAACCAAGAGGGATATTATAACATCTTTTCTTATTGGAACAAAGCCAGTCAGGTTCTGTGTGTTCACAGCAAGAACATAAAAAAAAAACGTTTTGCAAGAGTAGACATACATAAATATAGTCTTTCTCGGGTATGCTAAACAACCATAACCCATAAAATCCTGAGCAGTGTGCAAAACGCAAAAATAAATATAAATGCCGACTAACGTGCATTATTATTTTTTTTTTCAGAAATCCTCGTAAGGCACACTTTACCTGTTTCTTTCAACATTCAAGAAAGGTGACTGACCTTTCATAATGTTTCAAAACATGCTAATCCACATAAATGCACGACCTTCAAATTCTACACAGAAAACAAGACAAATATATTTGGTGGTTGTAAGAGACTAAAACTAGGAACCACAGAAAATAGGTGGAAATAACAGCTTGGAGACTGCACTGCCAGCACTGCCCACATGCGAGACTGCAGAGTGGTACTGATAAGCCTAATGAAAATTCACAAAAGAGCAGTTTCTTTTACAATAAAGTATTCTGACTTGGTGGTTGGATTGCCATGTTTAGCAGTCTTGGCATTATGCAATTTTTGGTCGTTCAGAATAGCGCAGGAATGTGCGCCAGCTCCCAGCACGTAACCAGGAGCGTCTGCAAGGTCACAACTAAGGTCCACTGGGCCACGATGGAGACGCTTTTCGAAGTACCCACAGCACCCACAGTCACTGAGTCACTGCTCGACAGTCGCAAGCACCTTAGCGAAGACCTGCGGACATTCACGATGCCAGTGATGTCTGTCCAGTACCCCGGAAGCGGCGTGCTTACAGCATCAGCGAGACACCTCTCCACCGACTGGGCATAATAGCCCAGAGCTGCAAGATGCGAACACATTCTGTCACTCTTGCAGTGCGGCTGGCGCTCGCCACCGTTGACGTAGATGTCCAGCGTTCCCAGAGGGCCGGCCATGCCCAAACCGCAGGGTTTGGCACCTCCGGTGTGAACCGCCTCCACCCGGAGCGCGTTGCTGGGGGAGAGCCGACTTAGGCCTCGAGACTCGAAGATAGGTGACGCAGCGTCAAGAGCCGTCAATCGGCCCAACACGTTCCCTGTGTAACCCAATTCGTCAGCCACGAAGCCACCGACGTGCGCTCCCAACCCGAAGCCAATAAAGTGCACGCGGGTTAGGTCGTAGTCGTAATTGTTGACGAATCCGTTCAGCATTCTTGCCACGGCTCGCGCCACGAGGCGCGCATCGCTCGCGGCCTCTTGGTACCAACGGCTGTCACTGGACTTCGCGTTTTCGGGACAGTAATAGAAATCCGAGCCGTTCAATTGACAGTCCACAACGTTCCATAGGATCTCAAGTACGTTCCTGTCTTGGTGCTGCAGGAGAGCTCGGACCAAAATGTCAGCATCTGCGGCTAATCTGCGAGGCAGTCCGTGGCAGACGATGGTAAAGTTTCTGGACAGGAGTGCGCTTGGAATTTTGGCGTCACTAGCCGGTCGGTAGTCGATAGGCGCCTGAAGCGGTTCTAGGAATATTTTGAACGTTACGTTGACTTCATCGGACTCACGAGGCACCAAATACGCCCAGTTGCCGTTGGTGTCAAAGCTTCCAAACGGGCGCCGTTGCACGCCGTTCTTCATTTTCGACCGACTGAAAGAGTTCCTTTCGTAACAACTTGTGCCGCCATCTGTCACAGCTGGAGCAAGGCTGAGTTGGCCGAGTGTCACGGTTGCCAAGACGACGAAAGGAAGCGACCTGCCCATTGCGGCGGCGAGGCCTGGTTGTCGAAGCTTCAACGTGCTTACCGGAGAGATGCTGTCGAAGAGACTGTGATGGCAGCGTGATCCTCCCTAGAACCGGTTGCACTTTGATGCGTGGCCTGGTCGAAGTCGATACCATTGACGTCTTCACCGTGAGAATTCAACAGCGCCATCCGGCCATGCCGCTTACTGCTCGGCGGACGCAGTGAGAAACAAAATACAAAAATCTCAAACGCCGCCGCCGCCAGCGCCGCCCGCGGCCGCGCGGCAGCGGCAGCGCGGCAGCGGCAGCCCGCCGTGCCCGCGTTTTTCGTAATGCGTCCGTCGCAGTGTAGCCAGTGTAGCGGTGTCGCTAGACTCTTGGGGCAACACCGCCTAGAAGGCAAGGTCGTAGTACTAACATTTTTGCGTCACCAGCGAAGCCCAACGCTGGACAGATTGGAAACGAGTAGGGATGCCGCGAACTTTTTTCGAATCGAAAGTTCGATGATCGATTCAAGCGGTTCGAAAGGTTCGAAAGATTTTCGAATTTTCGAACTTTCCATATCAAGAATTTCGATGGAAGTCGAATTTTCGAACTTGCTAAAGTAAGAAGGTCGACGATTTTCGAAATTTCGAACTTATTACGCTGCAAAATTCGATGCTTGTCGAACTTTCGAACTTGATAGCCTTGATAGACTAAAAAATTCGATGACTTTCGAACTTTCAATTTTCTTGCACTAAAAAGTTCGAAACTTTTCGAACTTTCGAATTTTTTGCACTAAAAAGTTTGAAGCTTTTCGAACTTCCTACGCTAAGAAATTCGATAATGTTCGGACTTTCGAACTTGTTAATCTAAAGAAATCGAAAATTGTCGAACTTCCGATTTCTGAAAAGTCAAAAGTTCGACGAACTTCGAGCTTTTAGGGTAAAAGTTCGAAGTCCGTCGAACTTCGAAAGACGGGCGGGCGGTTTCATTTGGATTCAAGCTGTGAGGTACATTCGTAATTTTTTTCTCGCATTTTTACATGTGGCGCCGCATTACTTACAAAAGACAATGCCGTTTATTTCAATCGTCTGGCATTCTTGGTTTTAAAGAAATAGATTCCCGAAGGAGCGAGGAAGGACGACGGGTTTTTGACATTGTCGTTTGTGCCATATTTGAAGCGCGCTATAGCCGAAGATATTTATGGTAGAGATGTTAAACTTTTTAAGAATGATCTATGTATAGCCTAGGTAAGTGTAGTCTTAAGATATGATTACTATTCGCCAAGACGAGTTTCGAAGAAATATCCAAAGTGGCGTGTTTCGAAGAAACACGCCACTTTGCGGCGGGGCGCCGCAAAGTGGCGTGCGTGTACGGGTGGGCCAGGTCACAGGTGGGTTAATATTTCAAAGCGATAGGCGACACTTTGCAGAGATTTTGATCTCGTCCCTCGTCGTCGCCGCTACTGAAAATCTATTCTTTCCGCTACCGTGTTCTACAGGGTGGTTCAAGGAGACGCCAGGCTCTTTAAATCGACCGCAAAATTCGGTTTGCACTGACGTCACATCGCATAATTTTGAACACCTTATAAAAGGAGGAGAGGGAAGCTGCTTTTGTAAGAACTTTGAGTGACAGGTTAATCTTCTATAATCTGGGAGAAGAATAGCGACGCCTGTGCAAATCCGGGAGGCTCCTGATAAGAAAGGAGCTCGTTCTTCCCCTTTTCTCTGGAGGTCATCGGAAATGACGTCATGTGCAAGCCACGTATCGGGCTACGACTCTGTGCAGCGTTGCCCACAGATGTTGCATTTTTTTTTTTTTTGTAAAATTTGCAAAGAGCGAATTTACCCGAGGAAAAAGTAAAGATACAAAAAGGCTTAGCTCTTATGGAAACGCAGCGACGCCACCGGTCTTCAAACAACACGGCGCCGTTTCGCATGGGAGACAAGAGATGTCGCAACGAACGCCGCCAACGAACGAGCATACAGCGCCGAGAGCCCGCGTCTTTAGCAGACGATCTTTTCGACTCAAAAGCGGCGCGCGTTCCGCAGGCGGCGACAGTCGCAGAAACAAAAACAGGCGCGGTAACAACATAGGAGCTAGGGTAAGCCTTTTTCTTTCTTTACTTTTTCCTCGGGTAAATTCGCTCTTTGCAAATTTCACAAAAAAAAAAAAATGCACCATCTGTGGGCAACGCTGCACAAAGTCGTAGTGCGATAAGGAACCGAATTTTGCGCTCGATTTAAAGAGCCTGGCGTCTCCTTGAATCACCCTGTAGAAGGGGGACTAGTGGCAACTTCAAGACCGAGGCCAACACACAGTGGCGCACCCACAGGGGGGGGGGGGGGGGTCATAACCCCCCCAAAGCTCCTCAAGGAAAACATTTTTTTTTTCATATTTTGACGATTTATTTTAATGTAATGTCCGCAACGAGGACCTTAGAAGGTAAATAAATGAATGGCCCCCTCCTCTCCTCCTCTCCCGCTGTTGCACTGGTGATGTACACGGCACGAGCGAGTCATTTCCGTAGTATACAATATTACATTGACAGAGAACACACTATTACCAAAATTACCTATGTGGTGAAATGTGCTCATCTGATGCACCAACCTAGGTGTCACAACCTTGCGTCCCTGATACACTGTCCGAGCAAAATGCAAAAACCGACGATAATCGCATTCACGGCGAATTCGGTTGGTCAATCGCCGGCGAGAACGAGCCGGCGGAATCGGCAAACAGAAACGCGCCGGCGGCACACCACGTGACCCTCACCACCCGAACCAAGGAGGATGGAAGGGATTACGTGTCAGCACATCCATCGAGCCAGTACATCCATCGAGCCATTACATCCATCAGTGGATGTAATGGCTCGGTGGATGTACGGGCTCGATGGATGTATTGACATGCGTATGGATGTAGCTGCTCGTTGGATGTAGTTGCTCGCTGGATGTAGTGGCTCGGTGGATGTAATTGCTCGCCGTTCCTGTTATCATGCCTAGCGTGCCATTACATCCATCGTGCTAGTACATCCATAGAAGCCAAGATGGCCGCCGTGGGACCGCAGTTATATTTAAGCTGATTACTTTGTTTGCGTTATTCATATTCTTATTGGTTCGGAGCCTCAGCAAACAAGGGGTAAGCCACAGAACATTAGTGAATCACAACTGAACTCAACGGGGCAACGGGGCATTCAAACTTCTTTTTTTCTGGTCGAAAAGCGAAATAAAAAGTAAGATTATGTGTACCGTCCTAATCCCCTAATAAGGTAGTTTAATGTAGAAGATTTAATTTTCGCGATGACCTAATATTTGCGAGGACCTGAATTTCACGATTTGATCAAATTCGCGAAAAATTGGTCACGCGAATAAGTCACCCATGAATACGAATACATTGCGTATATCTCCCTTTCACGAAATGTTCTGCCCGCGAAATTTCCGAAACCGGCACTTCGCGAAAGGTCGAGCCCGCGAAATTAAACTCGCTTTTATTGAGTTAATTATGAGAGTTAAAGAGCAGTAACTAATGTTTCATACATGTGGAAACAACAAACAAGGAAAACAACGCCTTGTCATTAGGATCGGCTCCCAACGGCAGAAGTGGTGGCGCATGCGCAAAGCGGGCATACGATGGCCCCGTCGGGCCCAAACACTTTCGAGACGGGTTTGCGGAATGTCTTCATATGGCATGACACCCATACTCCCTCTTGATAATTTGAAGTTCGAGCTCCGTTAAATCCGGTAAATTCATCAGGACTGGGGGAGGCTCGTGCGGCTTCGGTGAGGCCGAGGGCCGCACAAGGTGCATGACGCACAACGGGTCATTTTACTTGCTTTTCTGCATTTAATTTGGAGTATAACTCCTGAAATAATGTGAACTATTGAAAAATATATGGCTCGTTTGCTGCTGCGTTCACTGAGGTCGGGCTCAGGGCAAGTTGACAGGCATGCTAAGCGGATTCGCTCTTTGATCTTTTGCCTTGCAGGCACTTTATTGTGAAATTGCGTCACGCAAATCATGTTTCCAAATGTACAGATAGCAGAAAAACCTTCTAGGCTTGAGTATGGAAAACTCCGAACATATTCAGGACTGCCAAATTTGCCTGGGTTATGGCTACACCGCTCCCCACACCAGTATAGCTCGTGTTGACGCTATGCTGTGAGTTATCCGGTAATTGTATTCCTTCAACGGCGCCAAAAGAGTGTGCTACCCAATCAAATTGACTGAAGTATATATTTCATGCACTAGTGGTTCATACCTACAAAAATAGTACTCGAGAAAACGAATTCACCAAATAACACTTTATTTTTACGTGCAAAACGACAGGTTTCTTGGGAATATTGCAACATAAGAACAAAAAAGTGCCTAGCTTACGCCGAAGGCAGCACACCGATACCAGAAATGTTGTCCAGGTACTGGCACACGACATCAAATGACACAAGGTTGTAGGTCACGTGGGCACGAAACTGTTCCATCTCAGCTGCTAGTTTCGCATTCTTCCTTGCGACCGCTGGATCTTGCTGCCTCGGTACAGCCAGCTGGTCGTGGAGCAGGGAGCTCATCCTCACCTGGGAGCAGTGTTGCTGCATACGAAGGAACTGAGCGACTTCTGCCAGTTGGGGATGGTGATTGGGGAGCTGGTCCCTGAGGCCGTTGTGCCAGCCTTCAACGTGGTTTGTCGTTCGGGGTCCCGTATTTCCAAAGTGACCCCACAGGTTCTGCACAGAGCTAGAATCGATCCAGAAGTTCTGGAAGTAGGTTCCGAAAGCGGAGAGTTCTGCTGTCACCAACGGTGAAAGGCCCTGTGGAAGTGACGTAGTCAAATCGCGAGCAAACTCTAGCCTAAAGGCTTCTGGTAAAAAGGGCAGGTGCCTCTCGCGTGTGAACCACAAGTTCACGTCAGGATTGCTCCGGCAGACGGAGCGCAGACCGAGTGCGTCTCTCTTCTCGTTGATGGCCTTCGCGAAGTGGAATACACAGCCATAGACTGTGATCGGCTGCAGAAGAGCATCCGCACTGAATGTGTTCACCGCAGCTTTGATGGCGGCAACCTCGAAGTCGAACAGCCACGTTGCAGAATTTTGT